CTCTCTCTCTCTCTCTCTCTCTCTCTCTCTCTCTCTCTCTCTCTCTCTCTCTCTCTCTCTCTCTGTGTGTGTGTGTGTGTGTGTGTGTGTGTCCCTCCTGGTCTTCTTCATGCATGCGCTCTCTCCTTCTCTCTATACTTGAGAATCTTGACTCTGAATACATCCGCTGCTACTCAGCTCTATCTCTATCTCGCCTTCCCTCTCAGTGCAGCGCCGCCCAGCAGGGCTCTCGCGCGCATGCTACTCGCAGATAGCGCACAAGCGCTTCAGCAGCACTCCCACACTTCTCACGAATGAGCAATCTCCTTGAAATATGGCTGGCCAGTCGTTATATTATCTTGGACTGAGCTTCAGTCCGTCCCAGCCTCTGCTTCTTCTGTTTCGACTTGGTACTGGTACCACATGCCCATGGCCTGTTTGCTTCAGAATATCACGGCCTGGTACTTTCCCAAATTTTCATTGGTGTGCTGCTTCTTGGGCCTGTGAGTCACCTGTGAGACATGACTTTTGACTGTGGGATGTGACTCTTGCCTCTGGGACACGACTTTTGCCTGGGGAAGTGTCCTTTGCCTGTGGGATATGACTCTCCAATATGAGACGTGACTTTGGCTTATAGAACGCAACTTTTGCCTCTGGGATGTGATTGTTCACCGGGTGCCTGTTGGACTTGTCTCCTAAGGTACCTGACTGTGACTTTTCTGAAACTGACCGACTTGACCTCCCTTGGCCTGGAACCTTGACCCTGGACTTCGAATTTGGGGTCTGCATCATGGAATGCCTTCCAACAATCACCCAAAAAATCTGCGTTGTATGGGAAAATGGAGGCATAACTTTTGCCCAGATGTAGACTGAACTATTTTCATCACCTTTCAGACCTGCAATACCAGCTGAGCCGCCCAGGCTGCCTCTCGCTGCCTGGGCAGCCCAGCCGGGTAAGACACGCAAACCCAGCACAGAACTCGAAAGAAAAGAAAAAAACCAGGGATCCACTTCGGTGGAGGATTTGGAAGTAAACCCAGGGGAATGGGCTTGGAACCTCAGAGGAGGAACATTGAGGGTGGATAGATGGGTCAACATCTTAAATTATACTACACGAACTGGTTACCGACTGAAAAGGCATTCTTACCCCTTGGCGGTATCGCTGTCAGGACAGCATCTTCCAGCTGATAAGGCAGTACAACCTATGGACGACTTGGAAGAGGCGATGTCAGATTACCATCGAGAAGCGGCCAATGCACAAGCAGGAGGCAAGTGAGATACTCCACAATTTAGTGGAAAGTTGGAAACAGATCTCCGGGCACAGCGGAAAAGAGTGCAGAGACAAATCCATCAACACCTGCAACAGGCACAGGAATTGAGGACCCGATTCGAGGGTCCCGAAACGTCCCAGTCCCAGCCTGTCCCAGTAGGGTAGGTCGTAGGGTCCAAAGGCCGAAGCGTCGTAGGTCGGTAGAAGTCCGTCCGCCGTCCGGTAGGTACCCGGCAACCATTCGAGAAGAGCATCTTCCAGCTGATAAGGCAGTACAGCCTATGGACGACTTGGAAGAGGATGTCAGATTACCATCGAGAACCGGCCAATGCACAAGCAGGAGGCAAGTGAGATACTCCAGAATTTAGTGGAAACAGATCGCCGGGCACAGTGGAAAACAGTGCAGAGACAAATCCATCAACACCCACAACAGGCACGGGAATTGAGGACCCGATTTGCACAAAGGATTCTAGGACACGATAAGGTAGCAACCATTAAAGGGTATAATTCAAATGGCGAACCGAGAGAACAAGCTAGAACAGGAACAGAGAGGTTAACATAGCAGAGTAGCGATTAGGATGAAAGGATTCAGGCTGCGGACATCCCAATTCCAGTTCCAGGGTTCCAAAATGTCCCAGTCCCAGCCTGTCCCAGTAGGGTAGGTCGTAGGGTCCTAAGGCCGAAGCGATGTAGGCCGGTAGGTGTCGGTACAGAAACATCGTAGGTCGGTAGAAGTCCGTCCGGTAGGTACCCGACAAGAAAAGTCCAGACCAGTCGAACAGTCCTAAGTCCAAATTTGCAGCATGTCCCAGGAAAGTCCGGAAGCAACTGCACCATCAAAACAATCGCAACAGACAGGCCACGGCTGACCGGTACCGGTCTGAAGCAGGCCAAGCCAAGTCCAACTCTATATTTAGCTGCTACAGTGCAGCGGCTGATCACTTGTCCAATTGCAAGACGAGGAAGCGCTGCCGCTGCTTGTGCGTTAAGGCAGCTTGGGCACTTCTCGCCTGGAGGAGGAAGGGGGCGCTTGAGAGTTACTCTCTAGCTAGGGTAGAGGAAGATAGGAAGGTGGACGGCCATAGCCGCCAAGTATGAAGCTTACCTGCGTGGGTGTATCCAGGGTTACAATCTAGGTTAGAGATAGGGAGCGAGGCAGAGCTGACCACGCCAGAGAGCAGAGCGAGACTGCAGACAGAGAGAAAGAGAAAGGGAGTGAGAGATAGAAGCCATAGCTGTCATCCGGTTGAGACCAGTTCCGGGTGTGTATGTGTGTAAGGCAGAGCTGCTGGAGACATAAATGACAGGCATTCCACAATGCAGACTCCAAATTCGAATCTCAGGGTCAAGTCCCCAGGCTAAGGAGGCCGCGTCGGCCAGTTTCAGAAAGGCCAAGTCGGGTACCCGAGACGTCAAGTCCAGCAGGTACCCGGTCAACAGTCACATCCGAGGGGAAAAAGTCACCCCATAGGCAAATGTCACATCTCGCAGTCAAAAGTCATATTCCACAGCCAAGGGTCACGACCAGCAGGCAAAAGTCATCTCTCAAAGTCAAAGGGCATATTCTACAGGCAAAGGTCATGTCTCGTAGACAAAGGGGCACATTCACCAGATGGAAAGTCGTGACTCCAGTCCCAAGCAGCAGCACACAAGGGGAAATTCGTGTAGGTACCAGGTGTGACGGGGCTGAGGCAGAGCAGCGAGGCTGGGAGAGAGAGGGAGAGTGAGAGCACACACACACACTCACTCAACTCGACGCAGACTCAACACGACTCGACGGACGCAGACACAAAGTGGCAAAGTCACAAAGTCGCAATCTTGGATTCCAAACACAATGTCGCAGCAAGTCACACTGAAGCACAAGCACTGAGGCCAAAAACTGAGTGCCCGAACTCGACTTGAGTCCGGTCTCAAGTACCGGACTCAAGTTGAGTCCCGAGGGCAGAAGTGCAATTTGCCTCGGGGCTGAACTGAAAATCGAAGGTCTGAGCCTGGGCGCCAGAATGCCAGATGGAGCCAAGTATCGAAATCCGAAAGTGCCAGAGGAGGGATTTGAGAACGGGCGCCAACTGCAGAGGACGCCAACAGTCAGGAACCGGAGATCAGAGACTCAAAAATAAAATAGCAGCCTGGCAGGTGGTAACCCGCGGACCAGGGATCGAGCCCTGGCTGAGTCCGTAACACTATCCCCTCCCTCTGGAAGGCAACGTCCCGGCTGCCAAAGACCCAATGAACAACTGTGAAGGACGGGATGGGGCCGATCACTGGTCAGAAAAGGAAAGCGGGAGTAATGCAAGTAGCAGGGAAATCCTATGACAGGGTAATCCTACTGAGGTTCTACAGAGGTGAGGGAATCAATGCTCAAGTAACAGGGTAATCCTACTGAGGTTCTACAAGTAACAGGGCAGTCCTATTGGTGTTCTACAAGGCTATAGGTTGTCAGGTTTGAGGGGGGGGGGGGGGGGGGGGGATTGTTTGTTCAATGCTCGAGTGCTGGGGTGTCTGAGGGGTCTGGGAAAGTGGCAGCGAGGAAGCAGTCTTCAGCAGTTCTGTGATGTAGACGGTGAGGGCTTCAGCTTGACTGTCCCCATAGCAGACTGGCGCCTACGATCACCTATCTGAAATCGAACAGATTCTCAAACTACAGCTAACGCTCCTTTGTATAATTTGTTTGGTTGTTCTCTGTGGTACCGCGGCACCTGTGCTTTTTCATCTATTAGCTCAAAGAGAAGTTTCCACTGGTGCTCCTTTCTTTAATGATACTATAATACCTATTTCTATTTGTTTACTACTTGTACACAATCTGATGACGAGGTCTGATCCGGATAGCAGGTCGCAGACTGATCTTGATGTCCATGTCAAAGGTGCTGCTCCATAAGTCTGCGAGTCCAAGGTGCCGGCCAAAGGGAACAGCATGGTGGCCAACCAGCTGTCCTCCTCGTACTGAGCTGCAGCATACCATCGTCCTCGTGCGCTTGCCATTAGATCCATTCTCGCCGGCGACGCGCAGGGGCCACATAGAGAACTTGGACAAGAGAGACAAGGATGTGGCGGAGGACAGATGGGAGAACGGGGCAAGGCGGAGGCAAGAGCGGATCAGACGGGGGGGGTTCAAGAGGCAAGGGCTTTGCTGGGTACAGGGGTGTGTGTAGAGCAGGAATGCGGGGTTTTGGCAGGGTCAACGCAGGGTTTATGCAAGGGTTTAGGGTTCGAGTTATATTACATATCTAGGATATAGGGTGAGCACGATCATAGGCGCGAACAAGTTTCATGGCATTCTTGAGATTAGAGAGAGGTTCCCATGTAGA